TTTGCTCAGAGGTCTCCTAGAGACATGAGGAACTTTTGCGTGCCGTAAATCTACGACACGGGACCCACGGCTTAAAGTCCCTCCCGGAGGACTTGTTCCCTGAATTTTTCCGCCCTTAAAAATTCCACGACCTCCACCGTGATATTTTTACGTGATATGGGACTTGTTCAAATGAAACCCATTAGGTGATTGTCCTCAGCGAAAGAGTAGAGGTCGTCGAAAACAATCCACATGAGCGTTGCTAATATGACAGCTGTGTCACACAGCTTGTGGTCGATTGTTGGCGTGTTATACACACAACCATGTGATCACCTGCTGCAGGCCCTATTCGATCGCAGCACCAAGAACGGGTTTCATTTGAATAAATCTTATACTTTCTTGAAAACTGTCAGTATTTTCGAGTACCGTACCCATACACACTGGACAAGACAAAAGACTTGTGGAGATTTATATGTATTTATGTCAGGCCCATACGGAGTGGGGGCAATAAATAATTCAGTGAAGGAACTGCAGGATATTTCCGGAATTGAAAGTTGCTCACATTCTCACAGGTACTGATGTATCATTATCTGTTAACTCTACTTTCTGTACAGTTCTGTTCAACACGACACTACGGACGTTACAGTAAGGACCATATTGCTATGTTTTGACGTAGTGCATTTGTCGCTAACTATCTGTCGAATGAAGAGCATTTTCAACAATATCTGTAATGAAAATAAAACAATTGACCTATTCCTTCCAGCCGCGCTATGGCCCTAGGGTCGACTCAGCCTCTAACAGAAATTAGTAAAGGGGGGCCGGCCGGTGCGTAAGGCTGACAACCTCACTGCCATCTGTGAGCCGATTGTCTAGAAAATGTGGAAGCCCCGACGTCTCATAACCTTACGGGCCTCCACGGCCTGTTACAGGGTTGGCTTAACATTTTCACCTTTACTTTCTGTTCAGTACATTTTTCTGTAAATTTTAACGGTTTTCCAGATGACTTTATGTGAGCAAACGCATCAAAATTTGTATTATGTGTGCATTTCGTCACTTCATATAAATGTCTGTGTTACGTACATGCTGTACCAAGCGATTACTAATATATAGTACAGTCATACAGTGTATTTTAACATTATAAGCACAGCCTGTTTTTAACACACTAAAACTCTGCATTTTGCCCACACAGTGTATCTGTGTATTCCGTATGGTTCTCACAATAAACAGCGACTGTTTCCCTAAACAACATTAACCGGTTGGGCTCTGTAGCGGAGACGTAATGTGTGTCCTGTGAGGTACGGACTGAATTTGTATATATCAGGCATGTCCAACATGTCAAACAAGTTGTGATCGACTTTTTAGTGTCAAAACTGCCAGTGATCTACCACCCCCTCCTATCTCCGTACCTCGCTTTAAGCAAAAATATTGGTAAAAATAACACGACACATGATGTTTGTTGCAAAAGCAACATACATTGAAAGTACAGACTACTTTAACACGTATTTTCCCTTCAAAATCTGAATATAATCATGTTTTATTACAAGTGAATTTACATGCTTTTCACGTATAATTTGCTTATAGGCATATGAGATCGACCAAAAATCGTCCCGCGATCGACGCGTTGGACATGCCCAGTATATATTATTTAGAAAAAATCCAGTCTTTAAAGGGTTAATGAAATTCACACTCTTAAAATTTTCATATTTATTAGAAGCTCCGCTCTACTCATGTACAGTATTTATACTGCTGTCATAGAGTATGAGAAATGTCTGAAACAGCTTCTACAGCAAGTGCATGAGGCCAGTGAGAGTTGTGCTCCTTGGTATACCAATTGAAGATAACATCAGTGGGGGCTTTAACCTGAAACAGTACCAATCCGATTATGAATATGAACGTCTGTGACACTAAGAAATACATCCTTAAGCACATTAAATCCCTTTCTATAAAGGGAGGGTCTTTATTATGAACCATTTGAGTAAGTCAAGGAGGTTGTCACGTGCCAGGTGACAGAGGTCCTAAATACTTCCTTCAGGACTGATCAGTGAAAGAGGTTCTGTGGAAATGGGTTCTATATTTTGTGTATAAAGTTAGATATATCATTGAGAAGGTTAATAAAGGTTGATAAATTGATTCTGTCATAACATACGTAAGCCACGAAGCCTTAGGATCGATTTCATTTGAAGTACAATATACCGACATTATATCGATATAAGATCAAGGCTTGATCGCATGAGACTACATTTGTAACTAGATGCATTAGCAAAAGGAAAGTCCATTAATACGAGCATGATATTGGCGGTAAATATGGAATACCACAATATTTCTGTTTGGTGGCTCAGCGCTGTGGATACTACTGAAACTATTTATAGATGCTGCCAGTATAAATGATTTTGTACACGTAGATTCTAAAGGGTTCTGACGATGGCGCATTACACTCAGAATTACTGCGTTTTTGAACTTTGTCCATCGTCCGGTATTCTAGAAACTAGGATAGGATAAGAGTTTCTAGAATACTGGACGATGGACAAAATCCAAAAACCCAGTAATTTTGGATATTGTACCATTCAAGTTTTGCTATTTCGTACGGTAGGAAGTCATTTTGTTTGTTTTCGTGGCATCTGAAAAATTTCGAGGAACAAATTAGGTACATCTATCCGGTATTTAGTTTATGTTTTGATTTGTCATACAGGTTGTGATGGGAAGCGCCACATGAGCACAGAACATTTTGTCAGGACTCCATGCACGCCGGAACGTTTTTGTTTAAAATGGCGATGAGGGTAACATGGAATATTACTACTGTCTACTATTTCATTTTACCTTCTGTTTCAATGTCACAAATCGAAACATGTACTCGTAGTTATGATTCTAAATTACTGTCGGTGTTTCCGTGATCTGTAGTTCTGAAACCGGAAGAAGTAGAATAGAACTGCTTACTGAATGTGAAAGTGTAACTCAGAATAATAAAATTTGTTGAGTTATATTTTCATATTCTTTAAGCAGTTTTATTCTTTTCTTCCTAATTTGAAAATTATAGGCCACGGAAACCCCGACAGTAACTTAGAAACACCCCAGTATTATTTAAGCTCACTTCGGGTATATGGTTAAATTTAAACTCCTTTATGTTATAATATTAATAAAATGACATTTTGTAGAGTTGTGTCTCTGTGGATATGACACATTGTATTCCGTTGAGGAACATGTCCCCTCAGTCTTCAGGGCAGAAGAATAAGCCAAACAAGAAAGCAGCATGAGGCACGTGACATGCAGAGCTTGGCTAATTCTTCGACCCTGAAGATGGAGGGGACTTGTCCCTCCGAAAGTGGGTTGACATTCGACTGATCATATGGTCCAATAGCTACCGTCGTGAGAACCTCAGACCCTACATAAAATTTTATGTATTCCATATTTACCTCACAGCAAAATCTTACTTAATGGTTGGTAGGTCCGTGTTCGAATCCTGTGTCACTGTTGTTCGATGATACAGTGCAGGGTCTGCGCAATCAGTTCGCATTGGTCAGTGTCTTTGCCGTTCACTGTGGACAGAGAGAATGAAGTTATCCACAATGCTGGTGGGACGGCGCTGGCGAACCAGCCAAGGATGTCACGCAACGTGCCGTGGAGGTGACAACTTCATTTTAAAACAGGTATACAAACTCCGTGGCCTGTAGTCCGCAAGCGAACTATACCGACCGATCGACCGCTGCTTGTCGTTGAAGTCAGTGCCAACTTTAGCGGATAGAGGGTGTCACGTGTTCAGCGCAACGGATCCCCACGGCTGTTAATCTCGGTTTTCTAGACCGCAGCCTCCACTTTTCCTCTCAAGTAGCTCCTCAATTATCCTTTCGAGGCTAAGTGGACCCCGTTCAAGTCCTATACGTTATGGAATGATTCACCGAGACCATATCCCACGAATAACACTCACAAATATTCAATCGTAAACAGTCTCTTTTATATAATATATCACATTTCACATGCCCACATCAAAATATTACAAGTATTCAAAATATAAAAAGATAAGCTGACGCAAAAGACTGCTCGCTCGTTCGTTACCTACTACATGACTTAATTTGATGCAACGTATTAACGTTTGATAGTTCTTTGCCATGGTAACCGGAAATTGTGTAATGACGGTGACATATCTTACGCGTACAAAATTTTCATACAAATATAGAAGAGTATCATTGCCTTGATCGACGCAGTTGCGCACGAGTTGGGCCCGCAGGACCGATTGGTACTCCTTGAATCCGTACAGTCTGTCTATGATGGGCATGATGTTGTCCCCGTTCAGCAGGCGTCCATCGGCTGAGAAGGCCCCCATCTTCTCGAACACACAGGCCAGCAAACACTGACACATACATGCAGAGTCAATTAGATATCGTAGCTTGTAGAGCCGTTACTGGGTAACGACATAGAAACAAACAGCGGAACAACATTCGCTGCTAGGCTATAGATTTATTAATAAGCAAGTATATGCAGCCGTTACTGGGAGATGGAAGCATAATAAGAAAAGATTTTTTTTTAATAGGATATGTGTGTGGACGCCAGTCACATGGTTCAAGATGCGGAACGGTGGTTAATCCCCTGGTTAGTTAGCGGTTGGTGATTTGGTCAGGAGAAGAGAGATCATTTGATATTGTGATTTGCTTTATTACACCGTGTAGTTTCATAAGTGGTTAAGGATGTTTCGGAAGAACCTACAGGCTTCCTAAAGATAGAGGCAGTTGTTCTTTTTTCACCGGAAAGACGATAATCACCCACGGAAATACATGGCAACATAACGCAGAAGTCTGTGATAATCTGTAATTTTTACCTATGACCGGATCTGAAATCTTATCAAGAATAAGGCGATGTGAGGTCGGTACAGGCTCTTGGCCCAACCGTGAAATAAAGCATAATTTGTTTCCTTTGTATGTTATATTGAAAACTGGATAGGTTACCTTAGCGGGCCGAGTCTCAAGACGATTCCTGTTGAGCACCGCCTGGAAATCATCTGAAACATTTCATTCGTTGTGTTAGTGTCAAGTGGGGACAACGGCCGTCATAGTAAAACTTATCTATATTACGTACGCAACTGAAAGCAAGATATTTCAGTATTGATCGAACAGAATGTGTTGCCTGATTTTTAATTATGTATGGGTCTACAGCCCTTTGTTGGGCCTTGACCGCCTTTTCAGTTTCTTGATCTTTTATACAGTCAGTAGGACTCCTTGTACGGGGGATCAGCCCGACGCAAGGCCGCTACCTGCACACAGGACAGCAGAGACAGAATAAATTCACACAAATATCCAGTCTAGAGTGGGATCCGTTCGAGCGGACGAAAACAGTTCAAGCCTTCAACCGCGCGGCCGCTGTGATGGGCTGTCCGCTTTCCTGTTTGCCGGTCGTGTCAGCTGGAGATAACGGTTCAGTGAATATATGAATTTAACTTATTACTTATACAGGGTTATTCATTCCTAGGAAGTCTCGAATTATTAACTATAAATCGCGCAGTAATTTGTTGATGAAAGCGAAATTTGGCGAATACATAAATCCGTAGCTATGGAGATAATTGCGTTACAGAAGTAGTTGAAATTGGTTTCCGGAGACACAGGCCGACACGACAGTCAGTGTTCATGAATGTTGCAGCCAACATGGCAGTAGAGACCATAGACTGATGGAAACTGTGCGAACTGGCCAGGCAGGCAGAGGTACATCATTTTGTCGAGTTATGTTTTTATTGTTAAATTATTGGATGATTTATAATTATAAATTCGGGGGACCTTCTCCGAGTGAATCACCCTGTATATTATTTTTTCTATTTATATATAAACGTAAAGCTATCCCTGTAACAGGAGTGAAAGTCCATAGGGTTTTGAGACGTCGAGGCTCCCACACTTTCTAGACAATCGGCCCACAGATGGCGGTAAAGTTGTCAGCCTTATGCGCCGGCCGCCCTTTGCCCCCCAAGAAGATTCCTGGTACTCATTTCTGTTAGAGGCTGAGTGGACCCCAGGGCCATAGTGCGGTTGGAAGGATTAGGTAAATCGAAAAAATCCAATGACCTTATCGGGACTCGAATCCGCGACCTTCCGGTTTGTAGCATAGTGTCTCAACCAACTACACTACTGCGCCCCCTTTCTATATTTATATGTTTGACAATGTGTCCTGAGAACTGACACAATTACTCTCTCAGAATGGAAATGCAGTGAACTAAGTTTCTCCCTACTCTCAGAATGAATAATATTGAAAATGCTTTACACGATATCACATATCTCATCGCTCTTTTCACAGGTGCGTGACGTCAACACAGAGTCGTACATAGAAAAATCGAACTGTACTTCATGTTTCATCGCCCTATTGTATAGGTCGTGCTTTAATACCTGGCCCCTGTGTTGCGTATAAGGAGAGTGTTAAAATAAGTAGCGGGGTAGTGGTTGCTTCTGTATTGTGGGATGAGGCCAGGGCGACGTAGTGTAACTAAAGCCCTGCTGTAATTGCAAAACTTTTGTCTGTCAGTACACTCGACCAAATACACTGCGCATTCTTTTGAGAGTGGCCACGTGAAAGAAGACAGACTGTATGTGCCCAGAGAGAATACAGCGTTTTACGCCGGAGCTCGGGTTAACATATAGGGCTTTATGTCTTTGAGGACGAGAGTGAATTAAAAGTAAGTTTGGGGGTAGTCTGAAGATGCGGGTTATCCACAAGACCGGCTACACCATCTGCCTCCCCCGTCTGTCAGTAAAGTAGTCACACAAGCAAAGGGTCGGAAATGTAAATGAACTCGAAAGGGAACAGGCAAATAAAGGCACACATAACGCATCACGCCATGAAGGTGTATGAAGAAGTGAAAGCATGGGTCCAGGTACTAGAAGGTGATGAAAGATAGTTTCACTTCCCGGCCATCTTAATCAGGGTACCCATTGGATACGAAGCCCCAGGGTCGGTCTGGGTGCTGTGGAGAAGAGGTACACCTCTGCCTTAGCCGGAAAGCGAACTCCAATCCCTCGGCTATCCAACCCGTAGCGTCGTCACTATACTGACTGAGCTATCTCCGCTCGGTTTCGCACTGTGTGGCCGGTAGCTTCCCTGGTTCACTTACCGTCGGATGCACCAACCTGAGGGATGCATTCGTTTGCAAGCGGTGTGACAGCATCTTTGTAGCTCTGGGTCGATTCTCCCTGAAGGCAAAAAGTTAGGAAACATTAGCGGCTGAGTGGGCTTAAGCACCGGGAGTGGACGTTCTTTATAATTGGAAGGAAACGCAGATATTCTTCGCTTTATGAAGATTTGCATTACGAAATTTCTGCCATACACACTCAAACCCTAGGCTTGGCTTGTCATCCGCAGGCGAACTCCCTCATCTGAAATCCCTTCCGAACAAAAACAATCACGTGCGAACGAAAACGGAAACAAGCGAAAGCAATGTAGACCAGCCATTTCTCCTTATGCTGCGAGTTTGTGTGCATCTTAACGTTTTCGGTGTTTCTTTTAAGCGTTTATTACTGTCAGAGCAAAATATAGTCTCTAGTGTTTATAGCATGAATGTATAAGGGGTGGGTCTTCTTGGCCCTTGCCCCGCGACCACAGTGATCTATTGTGCCTCTGTTTGTAGCATACTTTAAGCCTTTTCCGATGTTAATATGTTTTGTTTCGGGCAAAAGAATTGCTTATTTATATTTTCTTGGTCATTTTTTTTTGTCGTTCAGGAATGTACCGCCAAGTTATGACATTGCGCCTATGGGAAATACCGATATGTACTATGAAAATTCGTTTTACGAATTCTGTCTAGGCACATGAGCAATCATAAGAGTGGGGAGTCCGTGCACTAGAAATGTCATACTTTAAGCTTGACTCGAAAACTAAACTTCGTGGCCTTAGTCCACCAGCGAACTATACCGACAGAGCCACCGCCGCTTGTCGGCGAAGTTAGTGCCAACTTTAGCGGATAGAGGGGTGTGACATGGTCAAGGCAACGGATCCCCACGGCGGTTAATTTTGGTTTTCTAGACCGAAGCCGCTACTTTTCCCTTCAAGTAACTCCTCAATTATCCTCATGAGGCTGATTGGACCCCGTTTCAGACCCACTACTTCTCAGAAAATTTGGTAGCGCCGGGAATTGAACCCGAGGCATCTGGATCTGTAGCCAGGAACTCTGATCACTAGACTCGGAAGCACTTTAAATTTATTGTGTTTGTAATCTTTAATCACTTCAGCTCGCACCTCAACCAAATTACAGTACAACTGTACATTTTTTGAATTCAAAAGTACCGTGTTCTCGCATGTGACGCCGTGTAGTCCGGTTAAATCTCACCGACGTTTCGCAGGAACGTATTGCTTCCATGTTCACTGTCAAAGAGTTAACGCCAAACAATTAACCAGCAACATTGAGACTCCAACACTTTCCTGATACATAAGGTGATAATTGCTCAACTAATCAAGACAGCCCCCACCCCAAAACTTTTAATGGATCTCGAAGGTTCATTACCTTGCTCACAAGAGTCAGAACAAGAGATAAGATATTGTAAGTGATCAAATGTGAAAGAACATTGTTAAGAGCTTGGTGCCGTAATGCCTACAAACATTATAAATAATTTACAGGATCAAACATCGCTGATAAGATAAAGGAAGTGTTTAAAAGTGTTTAAAACTATCTCGTACTGTTACCAGGACAGTGTTAGAATTGTAATAGAATTCGCTTGCCCTCAATTCAATATGGTTGGTTCATATGAAACTGATTTATTAGTGAAGATCTAAAAGTTTGTGACGATGGCATATTAATACAACTACTGTGTTTTTGGACATCAGCCATAGTCCTTTTTTTTATTATTTAAAACACAATGTTTCGGAGACTAGACCCTGTCTCTGTCTTCAAGTGAAAACCTACTCAGTTGGGCCCAATCAATAGAGCTAGTCCCTATCTCCGGAGACAGAATTCAGTCTCCGTAACGTTGTGTCTCCGTCTTCAGGTAAAAACATACTCAGCTGGTCCCAATCGATAGAGCTAGTCCCTATCTCCGGAGACAAAATTCAGTCTCCGTAACGTTGTGTCTCCGTCTTCAGGTAAAACATAGTTGGGTCCAATCGTTAGAGCTAGTCCCTATCTCCGGAGACAGAATTCAGTCTCCGTAACGTTGTGTCTCCGTCTTCAGGTAAAAACATACTCAGTTGGTCCCAATGGATAGAACTAGTCCCTATCTCCGGAGACAGAATTCAGTCTCCGTAACGTTATATGTTTCTAAATAAGAGAACAGGGCGATGAATAATGCCCAGAAACACAATAATTGAGTAATTTTTTGCTGGAAGTAAAGAAAGACATTTGTAATGTAATTATTTGGACTTATCTAGAAACCTAAGTTTCATTTCGCCCTTTTTTTTTAGCGAGTTCGAAATGAAATGCTACAAAACTGAAACGGCGTCATCAGCTACTGGGGTCTCATATACAGAGTGGTTTAGAAATCTCAGAACATATAGAGATTAAAATCGCTTCCGTCTTGGATAGAACGCCATGTATTTCCATGGACAGGTTCGAATGGTACCCATAAACCCTATCGCAATACTTGCACATCGCTTTAACATTCGTGGCTACTGTACAATTCGTTAAAGATATGGAATAATTATGTTTTTTAATTCCCTTACTGGGGGGGGGGGGGAATCCAGCTGGGTCTACTCGGCACGGTGGCCACTGATTGGCCTATTGTAGGCTGCCCCGGGTGATTATGATGATGGAGAATTTGGTGGAATGAAGATTGGCAGGGGAAAACGAAGTACTCAGAGAAAACCCGCCCCAGCGCTACTTTGTCCACCACAAATCCAACTTGACCAGACCCGGGATCGAACCCGGGCCGCCGCGGTGGGAAGCCAGCGACTAATCGCTTGAGCTATGGCGCGGCCAAGATATGGAATAAATTTGGTATTTTCGGTGTTCTCTATAAGGTCCGCCATAGGAAACAGAAGGAAAACAGAAATAACATGAAGAGAAACATGAAAGAACATACCACAATTACACGACACCCAGATTCGTGAAACAGTAATACAGGGTCATGAATCCCGCGGGATTCGGAACCAAGAGTAACTGTGCTGGCGAGGGTCAGCAGCAATTTACCCCGTCAAATCGACCGAAATGACGTGAGCCCAGACTCATGAGGGAGAAAAATATTGTCATGAGTCCCATGGGACCCGGAACCAAGAATGACTGCTGCCGAGGGCCAGCAGCAAATTTACCCGAACCGAATACAATAACGACATAAATAATTAAACTCTCATCTTGTGCGTATCAAAATTCCAGTGGAAAGTGTTCATGTTGGAGCCAGTGCCTCATGGCAGTTGTACTGACAACATGCCTGATGCTATAAGTTTACAGACAACTCCAGAAGTATTGTCAGTTACTTACCAGTACAGAGTGTACAACAGCGATCAGACAAATGAAACACAGATTGCGAATCATAGCGCAGGTGTCTGAATTTTCATCCGAATTCGAGTGAAGTCCGACTAATTCTGTAACAGTACGAGCAGTCTCCCAGGACATTTAAATATGCAGAATAGCTACAGTAATTATTTTAATAACATGGGCTCTAGTTCCTCGAAGCATGACACGAAACAAACCTCCGATTCAGGAGTCCTGATCACATGCATTACATCGCGTCATTATGTTCTTATGTAGGCAGTAACATGACAGCTAAGTCACAAGTAATTTCATTTCTTCCTCACCGCGAACTTCGTCATAAACATTTGACTTCAGTAAGTACCGTATTTACGCATGTATAGGCCGCACATTTTTTGCCAAAAATTCAAGAGAAAAACTGGGGTGCGGCTTATATTCGAAATATTCGAAATCACACTTCATTTAAAAAAAATATATTCCTAATTAGTAATACAGAATGTTCTACTCCTGAAATAATATTCCAAGAAAATTATTTTTTCTATAATTTGTCTGAAAATTGTGCTGCCGCCTATACACGCACGCGGCCTATACATGCGTAAATACGGTATAAACCTTCTGTATAGAAAGGGATAATTAACTAACTCTCTTCTTGAGAAGCCGCCCATTGATCAGTAACTCAAAAATTTCCTACCATTTTATGGAACCCGAGTGTTCTTTACCGTGTTTAGCCCTCCACAGCTCCATATCAAATCTATTCAGTTCAAACTACCCCCATCCATTTCAATATTAACCTTCCACCTACTTCTAGGTCTTCCTAGTTGTCTATCTCGTTCTGGATTTCCCACCAAACCACTATATGCATTTCTCTTCGCACCATGCATGCTAGAAAGGGTCGGGATAGCACAGTCGGTATAGCGACTGGACGACCGTGTGGTCGGAATTCGAGTCCCGTTAGGGTCAAGAATTTTCACTTCTCCATTTCGTCCAAATCCGACTTTTGGGGTTCACCCAGCCTCCTGTTCAATGGGTACCGAGGGCTCGTTCTCCGGGGGTTGGCCGGGGAGTGAAGGTAACCACCCACTTCTAACTAGTGCCGAGGTCAAGAAAATATGGGTGTAAGCATCCACTCCCCATGCGCCTTCATGGCGTAGTGTTTAATTAGTTATTTTTTTTAATCCACATAGCGGGGGGTGGAGTCCAGCTGGGTCCACTCGGCACGGCGGCCACTGGTTGGCCTATTGTACCTGCCCCGGGTGATTATGATGATGGAGAATTTGGTGGAATGAAGATTGGCAGGGGAACCGAAGTACTTGGAGAAAACCTACCCCATCGCCACTTTGTCCACCATAAATCCCACGTGACCAGAACCGGGTTTGAACCCGGGCCGCCGCGGTGGGAAGCCAGCGACTAACCGCTTGAGCTATGGCGCGGTCTTGCCTAATTAGTTGAGCAGAGGGACAATTTTACCTTGTTATATAGACTTGGCCACGACCATTTCCTTCCAAATTCTTTCAAATCCATTATCAGGTTAATATCTTACAAAGGAGAATCAGTAAATACGAGTTCACAAATTGATATAAAACGTAAAACATGTGATATTCGTACCCGGAAAAAACATTTATTTCTCGGCATATACACCAGCATTGCTACAGTGGTCGCGCCATAGCTCAAGCGGTTAGTCGCTGGCTTCCCACCGCGGAGGCCCGGGTTCGATCCTGGGTCTGGTCAAGTGGGATTTTTGGATGACAAAGTGGCGCTGGCGCTGGGGCAGGTTTTCTCCGAGTATTTCGGTTTCCCCTGCCAATCTTCATTCCACCGATTGCTCCACAATCACCCTCACCTATCATCTGGGGCTGGTACAATAGGCCAGAAGTGGCCGCAGTACAAGGGACCTAGTCCCACCCCAGTAGCAATAAAACAATTGCTACATTTGTCCCATCGCTTTATCAGTGCGTGGAAACCCGGAGCATAGACGTCTCTTGACTATTGTCTCAGCACTTCCGCGCCCCCGTTTCAACCTCTTCATCAGAGAAACATTTGCCACGTTTCTCGACCCAGTTGTGAACCGCTTTACGCGACAAACACTTTCCACCGTAAACAGAGAACATTTCTTTATGAATATCCTTTGCATTGTGTCCTTTTGACAACATAACGCTACTCTTCGGTAGTAAAATCCTCAAGCACGGTAGCCATTTTGACTACTGAAACCAGTCTCTGAATATGCGCCTGTGAGTCTGCTACCTAGTGATACAAATAGAAAACCTATTACGTCCATTACAGCTGTTTTACTTTCATCTGTGACCTATTTACTGACTCTCCCTCGCAAAATCCGACGGTAGGGGGAGAGAGAGTGCGAGAGAGAATAATAGCTATTCTAAAATTTAGTTCCTACCTCACAGTGAACATGCTGAGTCACTATTAACAAAGATAGATTGGTTATGCTGTTTAAATAAATGATCGCTGTTTATTGTGAGCAACGTTCGAAACATACGAAAGCACTGTGTGGGAAAAATACAGAACTCTGTTATTTGTATTCCTGGGCCTTGCATTACGCCTGGTGAAGCACTTTACGTTTGGACGAACTGTGCAGAAAATATAGTTTTTATTGTGCCTGGGTCTTAATTATTGGGTGAATGCAGTCATAGATTCCAGGTAACCATTTTATATTACGCAGAGCGAATCAGGCAAGAAGTACTGGGCAGTGTTGCAAGACTGAAGTAAATGAGTGTTCTTTTTGCATTTGTGGGAGCCGCGGTAGTTCAGTCGGTATAACTACGGGCTAGGAGCTGGACGGCCGGGGTTTCTCTTTTCCACAGCGTCCAGGCCGGTTCCGGGCCCACCCAGCCTCCTGTCCAGTGAGTAAAAGGTAAAGTTGTCCCTGTGCTTAATTAGTCAAGCGCCATGCAATGAGAGTATATGGAGGAGGGGAGGTATAGCTCCACTATTCTTCACCTCGGCAGTAAGATGGAAGTGAGTGGTCAACTTCACGCCCCGGCCGCTTTACTCCCGAGTAAACAGCACCTGGTACCCTTTGGATAGGATACCCCAGAGCCGGTCTGGACGCCGTGGAGAACAGAAAATTCTTGACCCAGCCGGGACTGTAACTCCTACCCCTTGGTCGTCCAGCCCGTAGCCAATCTCTGTACTGACTGAGCTATCACGGCTCCTCCTATCCAGTAAGTACTGGGTAAAGCGGTCAGGGCGTGAAGCTGACCACTCACGTCCACTCCCCGTATATCTTCATGTCATAGTGCTTAACTACTTAAGCACAGGGACAACTTTACCTTCTTCTTATAGTTGCTGATCCTTCCGTGCTCAGAGAATGTACGAGAACGTCTCTCTGGCGATTAGCTGTGTTAATGTTGTGTTAAAGAGCCCAACGTTTCGGAGATCTCTTCTCTCTCCATCATCAGGGAAGATGTGAAGACGGCTGATCGCCTGATAAGGTTTTAGTACATTTATTCGCCGAGACAGCTTCAAATCCTGAACAGACAACGCCCATATTTCTGGCTGCCAATCAATTTCGCCATGATAGCCACGTTTCCTGCAATGTTTCGCAAAGTTCTGTCTTGACTTTATTTCTGTTTTGTCGGGAGGGGGAGAGGTCATTTCAGTACCTGGATGACATAGCGTCCACCGTTGCTGATTTGGAAGGAAGCGATCTGGGTCGAATTTGCCTGGAATGACTGAGAAAACCACAATATACCAGAGTCAGGATGGTCAATGTCTTGATCGAGGCTCGAACACAGTACCTCCGGAATACGAGTGCAGTGCGTTGCCGCCACATCATCGTGTTAGGTTCTTGCCATGAAGGTTTATGAGTCAGTGGAGGTATAGCTCCACGTATCGTTCACGTAGGCGCTAGATATATGTAAGTGATCAGCTTCACTCCCCGGCCGGCTTACCAGTAGCACCGATCTGATGAGAAACTCGGTGGACTTCAGGGTAGGTCAGGACGTTGTACACAAGGATATAATAAGATCTGGGAGGAACTAATCGCCTAAGTTCCTTTCGCTACCTACTGTTTCATATGACACAGACCTCACGGAAGACACCACGTCCAACATTTCTTGTATTGTTTCATGTATATTCGTTGCGGAGGGGCCACGCAGTAGCGTAGTTGGTTGAGGCATCTACAAGCAGGAGGGTCACGGGTTCGATTCCCGATGAGGTCATTGGATTTTTTTCAATTTACCTATTCCTTCCATCCGCACTATGGCCCTGGGGTCGAGTCAGCCTCTGACAGAACTGAGTACCAGGAATCTTCCAGGGAGTAAAGTGCGGCCGGCGCGTAAGGGTGACAACCTCACCGCCATCTGTGAGCTGATTGTGTAGAAAATGTGGGAGCCTCTACCTCTCACAACCCGATTGACCTCCATGGCCTGCTACCTTTATATTCTATTGGGAAGACACACAGATACACAGACAGCAAGGTGGTCTCTTAATTTTCATTTTATGCATCCTGTTGTCTTACACTGTACAGCCTCTTTATTTCAACCGTCACAACACAACAGAACAGAACAGAACAGAACGGACAATACTTTGTAAGATGAGGCACCGACTAAACAGTAAGTAATATACACTGTATCTTCAATACCAACATCAATTGTTGATTATAAAAGAATGTAATACTAATTACTTTCATATCATTTTCAGATTAACATTAATTTAGTAATCTACATCGCGAGCCTCCTATACAATTTTATATACAAAAAATATATATAGAATATTCCAATTTGTCCATGGGAACGCAATGAAATTACAAAACCAACGACTGATTCGATGATATAAAGCATCAATCTAAGAATTTTATTCTTGTTTTATATTATAACTTCTGTTTTATGTAATCTGATTTATTGTATTTTTACGTCAAGTGTTTTATGTAATTAATAGTATTATATCCAATTTTACTAGTACTGCAGTTCAGTGGTGTATATATGTTAACCGTGTATTTGCCTGATGATGGCTACTGATAGCCGAAACATGTAGCAGAGCCGAAACTAGGCACTGATCTTGATATTTGTTGTGTTGTGACGGTTGTAATAAAGAGGTGGTCTCTTAAGCCTCTTTTTTTTTTTCGAAATAATGAAAGAAGCCTAATAATCTCTCTGCTTAAAATCGAA